GGCTCCACTAATTAGATAGAGGAAGTTATACCTAGCAAAGTTTGTGCCACCAATCTGCTTGAAAAAATCTTTATCCATGTTACTGAGAGGCATACATCTTTACAAAACACTGCCTTAATTTCAGAAAATTTAGCTCTGCATTTTTAAATCACAAGCTAACCAACGAAATAAACAAATAAAAATTAAATACAGGGCCAGCCAAATAGCTCAGTGGATTAAAGCGCCTGCAAGCAGGTGCAGTGGCTTTTTCCATCCCCGGGCCTGCTGGGCTGGCCCCGGCCCCGGGGCGCGCTGAGAAGGCAATTGAGACTGGACATGGTGGTGCGCCTGTAATCCCAGCTCTTGGGAGGCTGTAAACAGGTGGATTACTATGAGTCTGATCTAGTAGTGAGACCCTGATCACCCTGTAGATCCTTCCCTAAAGTAATAATAATAATAATAAATTAAATACAGCCTGATGACCTTATTGAAGACCATGCATACAGGCTTGAACCTTATTCCACTTCAGAACATGACAGTTCATTCCTGAGCAGAATGTCACAAATGAACTGAGAATCAAAATGCTACCTTTTACTTTATTCTTCAATCTGAGTATAAAGGTCTTATTAAATATAATTCCTTCCTCTCTCTCAACTTCTCTTTTCCTTTCTTTTTAAATCTCTTTTTCTGTCACAACAATACTAATAAGCACAGTTCTGCAAATGCTGTTGAACACTTTACCACATTTGCCTCTTCCCACCAAGGAAAGAAAAGATAACCTGGAAAAATTCATTTGAATGTAATTCATTAGATTATGAAATGCCTGCTGTAAGGAAAACTATTTCCAGGTTCTGTTCTAGAGGGTGGATGCAAAAAGTAACTTCCATTCCTACATAATAGTGCTCTTATTTTCTCCTGCATTATAATGTATACAGTTTTGTACTTTAAAACAATAGTTGTGTGTCTTTCCAGAGTTACATAGATATAGTAAATTGTTTTTAAGTACTGATCGTTACATAGGCTATAAAATCTTTAAACGGCAAGAGCATATTCAAGAACACAAGAGATTTATTAAAAATGCAGTTCTTGAGCCAGAATCAGTTGTCAGGTTTAAAAAAAATACAGGAACTCACTTCAAATGTCAGTTTTCTCATCTATCAAATTAAGGGGTTGGATTAGATGGTCTCAAAAGGTCTTTTGTTCTTATAAACTGCTACAGACTGTTTCGGAACAATTTCCACATTAAAACTTTTAATGTACTATAAACAGTTCCCAAGTGGCGAAGGTTTTTTTGTTGTTATTGCTCTTGTTGATAAAAAGGTGCAATCCAGTGCCTTTCATGTTGTTCTAGTTTCATTTCTTGCCATTTTCTAGATGATTTCCAATCCCATGAGAACACTTTACATAGGCAGACAATCAAAGATTTGAAAGCAAAATCTGGCAACCTGAGCACCAGATCCCTCGGTTCTTCTGCATCCTACAGCTTGCAGTGGTCTACTTTATTCATCTGTTGATAGTATGTGTATTTTCTAATAAAATGAATCACATCTGTTTTTAATTTGATGTTTCTTATGAGTGGATAAAAAAGTGATTTGAGACTCCTGACAGAAGTCTGTATTTCGTCTTTCACGACAAATAATGTTATAATACATGGTAATCTCTTTGTGAAAGCCTCATAAATGTTGATGAATTGGAAACAATATTAAAAATAAACCAAGGGCTGCTTATATTCTATAGCATTTGAAAATACTTGCCTTAGGAAAATGCAACTAAATTAGGCAGGCTTCCATTTCCCTAAGAAGCTTGAAACCTGGTGATCTTCATGTCTAGCTGATAGAGGACAGGGTACAGTTTTAGTAATGTGCTACAAGCTACAATCTGTTTCTATTGTATTTGAAGGAAAGATGTATTTGAGGAACCACCCAGAGATACACTAATTGACTGTACTTCCATGTCTACTTAATGGTATTTCATTTTGTTATTAAGCTTGAGATTCCGTTCTTAGTGGCACTTGTCTTTGAATATGTTTTCCACTATTTTTGATTGCGAATCATTCATCACTGTATTATGTATTTTGCCTAGAAATAAATGCTCTGTCCATTTGTTTGGTTCCCCTTTGCCTTTTGCCTCATTTGGTCTTGATATCAGACATAATCCTCGAAGTTATTTATTACCAGTTAAATTTGTCAAATGCATTTCCTGGCCTGAAGTCAATCCTTTGTGTTTTCTCAGTTAGGCAGACCCTTCAAGCTGTATTTTATAGTGGCATATCAATGTCAACTCTGATTATTAAGATAAATGTTCTAACTTGGTCAAATATTAGATAGCATAAGTCTGGTCTCTGTTGCTGTGTGGACAGAGTTGATGTTCAGAACTATTATCTTGACACAGGATAAAAGACTGAAAACCTGTTTTTTTTTTTAAAAAGTAGCATTTATTTTTTTATACAGTCGCATTGATATATACTGTATTTCATGTGCAAAATCCAGAAAATCATAAGGGCATGTCTTGAGGAATATATCATTTGATTTATAGTACAGGATGAATAGACGTAATAGATTCTGGTTTTCTGTTTGTTTATGGTAACTCTACAAGTTTACTTTTATCATATATCACTTTAAGTATCTGATTCTTATATTTAAAGCCCTTTAGTACTTTTTGGTGGGATAGTTATGAAAAATCCAAAAGGAATAGCCTGACTTTATGATCATCTCTTCTCTGGTCCTGACACAAGTTTCCACCCTTTTCGTTGGCTTTCTTTTTCTGTGAGCCCTTCAGTGCAGTCTGATGGAGGCACACCTGTTTCTAATGTGTCCATAGTGCCTATATTTTTGTATACTGGCTCAAATCCTTGCTGCTATCTAGGATGAGTTCCTTTTTTGGGTTTTGTTTTTTTTTCACTTAGAGAATTTTTTTATTAAATATATTTAGTACAGAGTCTACAGGGTCTCACTACACGGTTCGGACTTGTAGTGATCCTCCTGTTTTCAGCCTCCCAGGTGCTGAAATTGGGATTACAGCCCTGTGCCACTACACCCAATGTCAGTCGCTGTCTCAGTGCTACCCAGGGGTGGGGCCAGCACAGCATGCTGGGAATCGAACCCTGGTCCACTGAGCTGTCTGTCTGGCCTACAGAAATCTTTTGTGCTTTTTAAAGCCAGATTATTTACATATTCTGTGAAAGCTCCTGCTGAAACAAGTAAAGGAAGAGGAGGGGACGTATTTGGGTATAGAGGGAGCTAATATTTTGATGCCCGCTATGTGGCAGTACTGTGATGACATTTTACATGCATTATTTCAACAACATTGTTTGTCTTATGAGTTCCCATTGCATTTTTTTATTGAAGAACATCATTATTGTCCTTATGACCAAGTTTAATAACATAGTACCCACTTCACTTATATTATTTGTAGATCATTCTACTTAGCTTTAGATATACAAGAAAATCAAAGTAAATTTTGTCTCTTGAGTAAAGTATGAAAAACAAGAGCACATACGGAAACCAAAATACTAGTAAATACTAGTTTAAAAAAGGATATAAAATACTGAATGAAATATGAACATCAAAATTTAGTACCAGGAAGTATTTCAAACAATAAATATCTATTAGGAACATAATTGCCTCATATTGTTAATTATATGATACTGTCTTAACTTGGCCTTGAACAGGAAAAAGAATAGGATAAGGGATCCTTTTGATTTTTAAAGAAAATAAAGATATTACCTAGTATTTGTTGCTTGATTAGTTAATTTGAGACTACTACTAAAAATTTAATAAGTTTTTACTTTAAATAACTTAACTGTTGCTTGCTGTCTAGCTTGCTTAGTTGTTTTGCTTACAAAGTACATCATTCCAAATGAAATAAAGTCTTGAAGGATATATAAAACAGAGATTGATGAAGTACATTTTGTTGTTTCACCCTTTTGTAACTCCACTTCTTCATATTTTCCTAAAGACTTTTTTCTAGAATGAACTACTTAAATCAGTTCCCATCTGAAATGTTTTCTCTCCACTGCTGAGATTGCAAGGCCTGTGCCACCAGGCCAGTTCTCCATGGCCAGCTCAGTGCACCAGGGCGTGGGGCCAGCATGGCATGTGGAGCCAGGGATTGAATCCTAGTCCCTGTGCTTGCCTAAGCAGGTGCTTTAGTCTGCTGAGCTATCTTGCCAGTCCTTCTATTCTCTTTAAATATTTCTATATTTTTGGTACTTATTCATTTTATCAGAAAACAATAATTTTTTTGTTGATATTGTAATTATTTTCCAACAGTTTACTTACCATAATATATTATAAAATAATACAGTAAGTACAACATACTTTTTTATAGTTAGTACAGGTTCTACAGGTTCTCACAACACAGATCCGACTTGTACTGATTCTCCTGTTTTCAGCCTCCCAAGTACTGGGATTACAGGCGCACCACTATGCCCAATCTCAATCCCTGTGTCTGCATGCCCTGGGGGTGGGGCCAGCATAGTATGCCAGGATCAAGCCACCAACTCCTCTGTCTGCCTATGCAGGTACTTTAGTCTGCTGAGCTATCTGGCCGGCCATAGTACAATATATTTTAATACAGCAAATAACATTCAGAAATTTGATTTGGTATTTTGCCAAGTGGCTGTATAGAAGTTTCCTGTAAGCAGAAATAAAATCCAGAAAGAAAAAATGGAGGAAGAGCGATCTCATAATACTGACACCAGTATGCATTTTATAGGTTCTTTTTATATTTTTTGAGATACAGAAAATATTTTTGCATGTCTCACTTCACTGGTTTGGGCCCTGTGATATTATTTTGACTGTGTTATTTAAAGGCGGAAAACTTAACCATGGGTTAAACCAGCAGTTTATTCTGAATCTGCAGTATTGGAAGGCAGGAAAAATTCTGTATTCACCAACAGCTGAAACAAACCTCATACCATTACAGAAAGTATGTGAGTTATGTCGGTAACCAAAGCACCTGCTATTGCAGCGTGGAGTGTGCAAGTGCTTCCAGCTGTCACCCTCTCCTTTCTCTTTCAGGTGTTAAAGTGGGTAGAAGAAGCAGTACAGGCTGCCAAAGTTCACCTCTTATCAACAGATCATTTGAAACAGGCTGTGAATACTTGGAGAATTCCTTTTGATCCCAGCCTCAAAGAGGTCACTGTGTCCCTGAGTGGCCCTTCTCCACTGATTGAGGTTCGCAATCCTCTAGGTGAGATAAATCAAATACAACATTCTAAAGTTCAAAGACCATGGGGGAAGGGAAACTTTTTACACAAGTGAATGCTAGCTTTATGAATATATTTAACAATATTCAGAAATGCCTAGAGGAGATGTTGAAAAAAGAAAATGTCTTTCATTCCTAGGTGTTGTTGAATTAACATAAGGCTTAGAAAGCTAAAACTTCTCATATTTAAACAAAATAGATTAAGATAACTGTAGGTATATTACCCAAAAGGATATGAAAGTTTAACCTGAAATTTTTCATCTCTATGTAAGATTTTTCACAGTAATTTATACTGTAAAATGTAATTGCTATAGATGAATCACACTAAAAATGTTGCTTCCAAAACAACTGTCTTTACACCAAACCATTGTCTTATAAAGGCGTACTTTTACAGAAAAAAAGTTGTTAAAAATCAAATTTACCCTATCAACTGAGGAATGTTTTAATTTAGTTCTTTCTATTTTATTTTATAGCCATATGGTCTCCTTGAGTCTGCTGCCGGTTGGTAATCATAAGACTCACATTGAAAAATAACCTAATAATGACATAAATCTCATTTTTCTTAATTGCATTTAGAAATGCTTTTTGCCTACCGGTAATGTGCCAAATGCTTTTATTTCCAATTTGGTCACGCAAGTTTTAGAAGTACTTTTCTCACTTTGTGAGTATTACGTATAAAGAGGGAGGTGACTAGCTTTCTTTATTTCTAGAAGAAAACGTACGAAAGAAGGCAGCATGTGCATTTGTCCTCAGAGGCTGCGTCCACTACCAAGTACAATGAAATGACAAAATAAAGAAAAGCTGTTTTGTTCAAGTCTTCCGCAGGTTTGGCCACATTAGTGGACTTTCTCTTGAGATAGCGTCCACTGTCACAGCGACCCTGCCGCTCAGCGAAGACTTATACTGTCTGTGGTCTGGATGCTTGTGGGCATTTTTAGCCATCGCGCTGCTTCTACTAATTTAAAAAACATTAGACGTACAATGACCACAAATTTGTTTATTGAAACATAGCCTACTTGCCACTTACTTTTTGATGTAATGAAAGAAGTCGTCCATAGTGAATAAACAATGACTGAATTCCCAATTTGCTCTTCTTCTGTAAGTTCCAAGTATTGGATACTTTTGATAACTCTCAGGTCAGGAGGGCATGGTGTCACGCTACTTCACTACACTGGCTCCTTTAATAATTCCCAGGACAGATAAACCTGTCTCCCGTACTTCATGGAAAACTGGGTAAAGCTTTATACTTTCTTCAAAGATATTTCCAAGGCTCTCATGTTAGTAATACCTTGAGTGATTGCCAAGAAGAAATTTACTCAGGGCTTATTGTGTTGCCCTCTGCGTAATCTAAATTCCTCTAGTGATGGCACACAACTTCTTGGTAGCACAGGAATTGTTACCTACGCTGGCTTCAGAAACATGACTTCAGTTCATCAGTCCATATTCTCATTTTGCCATTAAATTGGCACAACAAATGGGAATCCTGTTTCTTCAGTTCCAGGGCCCAGAAACCGTACAAGTGAGTATATTTTGGATAGAAATAAAATAATATTTTAGGCTATGGAAACAAAGGTCTGCCAGGTAATATGTACTGGAAACAAAGTGCCTGTTATTTTATCCAAAGAATAAAAAATAAGTGTTTTTTTGGGTTAGTGTGTAACACACTTGAGTAAGTATATTTCTGTTCTTTGATCAGACTCTTAGCTGTTTATCATCTTAAGTTAGTTAATATATTTAACCAGGAAAAGATTACGCTTCTTACCTTTATGTTGATCTTTCAGGGAAGCTGATAAAAAAGGGATTTGGCCTGAATGAACTATTAAATATCCATAACTCTGCCAAAGTGGTGAACGTGAAAGAGCCTGAGGCTGGAATGTGGACAGTGAAGGTATTATTTCACGAAGTCTGTTTGTTATTTTATTGTTAGGTTGGCCTGTTTATAAAGTGTATACATATAGCCGTTTATACCTACTCCTGCAGTCGTGGACAGCACTTTTAGTAAAATGCCATGTATGTCGTTCATGCGTAGGAGATGTGTCGATCACACGAATTTGGTACTATTAAGTTTTGACGACCATGAATGTCATTGATGGGACATAAGAATGTTTAAAATTCCTGGATCATTTCCCTATCATCAAATCTGTAGGTTGATTTTATTATCCATCCACTGCTTCCAAAATCATCAGAGACGGAGCCAAGAGACAATAATGGATATGGCCACAGGCTCTGGGGTGGGACTGTGTGTGCGCATCTCAATCTTAAAAACTGTGTTTTCTTGGGAGCAGAATTTCTCTGTGCCTGCTTTGCTCCTCTGTCACGTGGGGACAAAAGTCCTTTACTTCTTAAGTAGGGCTGGAAATTAAAGTAAGACGGAAACTTCTCCTAATATCTGTGACCCCGAGCAAGCTCTCAATAGGCTGTTGTTACTTAGTGGATTCCTTGTTTTATTCAAAACAAATGGTATTAGTGTCCTTGAATTCCTGTAAGGACTGTCTAGTCAGTGTATGAAAGAATACTGTGTTGACGGTAGAGTGGAAAGAGGGAAAGCAGAAACACCAGAAATTCAGATATCGTAAATCAGAGAGCTAGGGCCTGGCAGACCGTTCAGCGGATTAACGTGACTGCTTAGGCAGAGGGCAGGGACCAGGGTTCGATCCTCAGCCTGCCATGCCAGCCCCACTCCCAGGGCACACGGAGACAGCAATTGAGACTGGGTTTGGTGGTGCTTGCAGTGCTTAGAAGGCTGAAAACAGGAGGATCACTACAAATCTGCTCTGTGTAGTGAGGCCCTGTAGACCCTGTACTTTAAATTACATTAAAAAGAAATCAGAGATCCAGTTTTATTGCAGATTATATGGATGACCCACTGTAGAAGGCACTCTGAGTGACTTGCCTATATTTCTTAGATTTTTCAGTGTGTTTTGATCTTTTTCCAACTCTAATTTCTGTGTTCCTGTATCTGAGAGCTCCCCCGATTCCCCAAACAGGAGAAAGCTGTTCTGCGGAGGAATTAGTACCTCAGGAGCAGCTTTCAGGTCCTGAAGGCGTAAGTGCCAGATGCTCACCAGAGGCGTTCTGGTGAAGTTCACCTTCCCTGGCCCTTCCTGTCTTCCTATATTACTTCCTCTCCACTCACCAGCGTACTTTGCTTCTCCCAAGTAAACAACTTGTGTTGGATTCCTGGGAGGGCCTAGGTAAAGGTACTGTATATATTATCTTCTCTTTCACTAAATCAGTCTCTCTGTATAAGAGATGAGATTGATTCTATCATGACTCAAAATCCCAAAATACTGTTAAAAGGTGTGGAAGTGTGTGTGGAAGTGTGTGGAAGTTCACTATAAAAATTCAAGGAACCAATTGCATGCCATGTAGACTTTTTAAAAAAGAATATCTACATTAATTCTTTCACTTTAAAGAATAGCAGTTGGGCTGGGGAGATAGCTCGGCAGTCTTAAGCATCTGCCTGGCAAGCACAAGGCTCCGAGTTTGATCCCTAGTACTGCATGCTGGATGCAGTGCTGCCCCTGGAACTGGGCATGGTAATGCACACCTACAATCCCAGCACTGGGAAAGCTAAAACAGGAGGATCATTGTGAGTCTGAGCTGTGTAGAAAGACCCTCTAACAAACAAACAAATATTTAAGAAAGAATGACAGTTGATGTTGCTATTCTGTTTAAGTTCTAGGAAGTCAATTGTTTAGTCTCAGAACTCTAAGCCCTGCAAAAGTGAAAAAAAGAAACTATAGATTTTGTTTGAGACGAATAATATGGGACAAAAGAATAGGTGAAGAGTAGGGCTAGGGAGATAGCTCAGAAGTTTAAGTTCCTGCCTGGCAAGCACAAGGACTCGGGTTCGATCCCTGGTACCACATGCCATGCTGGCCCCAAAACCAGGCATGGTGGCACACACCTGTAATTCTGGCACTGAGGAGGCTAAGACAAGAGGATCCTACAAGTCCAAGATGTGTAGTGAGACACTGTACCAAGTAAATAAAAGATTAAAAACAAAAAATTTTTCTTGCTTTATCTTGGTCTTAACCATCCAGCAGAAAAGTATAAAATCAAGGTACAAAAAGTAAAGCCATATTAATATGCTGAGCTGTAAAAGGCTCAAGTCAACAACTTCTGACATTGCCAGTCTTGCAGATAACCCACTATTGGACTATATTGGATTACTCTGCTGAATTCATGCACCTACAATGTATGAATGGCAATGGAATGCACATCTCTGACAAAAACAAACAAAAAAGGGGATATAAATGGATCATTTTGTAATGAAAATGCATAAGTATATCTATATCTATATATATCTGTATATACACAAAAGCATAATATACAGCTACTTTCTCTTAGTTCAATGAGAAGAAGGTTTTGAACTAATAATGTTTAGACAAGATAGCATGTCTGCATCTTGTACTAGGAATAACTACTACAAACACAACAATATGCAATGTATTAATTATTGTAACTGTCCTGCTAACCTGTTTTGAAACTATTTCATTGTTACTTCTTTCTCAATAAAATTGTTAAAAGATAAAAAAAGAGAATAAGTGAAAAGTAAATCTGGGAATGTCTTAATGAGTGGACCAAGAATGATCCACTAAGCCTGCTTTAGGCATGCAATTCCTTGTACACATTGGCAGTGATAGAGTGTTTTGCTGCTATGATATGTTAAATAAATGTAGCTAAGTTTGATGTTTTGATTATTTTGATAAACTTGTGCAAAATTGGACTAGTGTTGATTCTAATTTTCTTCAACCAAATAGGAAGAAATGTAAGAAATATTGAGTCTTTTTATCCCCCTGAAAGTTTAAGCATGACCTAAGTCAACAGTTTCCTGAGCTATCTGTCCACAGGGGTAGTTAGTCCTCTTGCTTTCTGATTAGTGCTATTAAGTTATCCATTACCATTTGTGAAATATACATGAGTGATACAATATCATTCTTATGTATTACTAGTAATTTATTGTAAGGTACTTGAACTCATTTTCAGGTCATTTGAATTGCTACCAGTGATATTTCCTCTAGTAAAACTCTTGCCTAGGGAATGTGTTGCAAGACCGTTGTTTTGCTTTGCACCTGACACACCTATTCATCCAGACATTTATTCAGGAAATATTTACTGAGTGTCTGGTTTTGGCTGTGTTCCACGCTACTTACAGGGCACTAAGCACATTTAATTGATAATTAGAACAGAGCAGTAACTGAGGATTAGCTTTTGAGTGAGGACAGTGATAAGTTGATTAAGCAATGAAAACTCTGTTAAGACAAGCTTCTAAGCTCAGTCTCCTATAACTAAGGGAATAATAAAACGACACTGTATGTATTACAGTGTTATCTGAAATTATATCAACATTTCTCCACTCTTGGTTCATACCATTTCTAGTATAAAATTGATCATAATGACAATTAAACAAAGGATGAGCATTACAGTGCAACTTAAAATAAATAAACATTTTTGTTCCTATACAGAGTATGAAAAGAATCTGGCAGGATGATGCAAAGGAAACTGAGCTGAGTGTACTGCCATCAATAATGCTGCTAACACTGGGTCTCCCTTTGGGATGACTAATCAATAATAAATGTTTTACCTGTGTGGTTTTTTTTTTGTGAAAAGGAATGTCTGAGTTAGATAGTGTATCCTTGGAGTTATCGCCATGCACTCTGCTATCTGGAAAATGTCTGCTCTATCAGAAGGAATAATAGAACTTCTCCCTCCTAGACGTCCAGCAATGGTTGTTATCTCAGTTATGGAGGACAGTCTAGATGCGGTTGGACCTTAGCACAGCATGGAAGGATCACTGAATTGAGTCTCGGTTCATCTGTACTCATGTCCCACTGCATGCCTTTGTACTTTAGTCAAGTACAATTGTGCCCTGGTCCCCTCTCCTCCTCTCTTATGCAACACACTTTGCCTATGTGGTTCCTTCTCTCTAGACTGCCTTTCCTTTCAGCCTTACATGTCACTATCCAGGGATCAGCTCAAATAGTAATACTTTCTTCAAGGCATGTGAAATTTTTTTTTTCTCCAAAATCTCTTCCCTCTGACTTTCTAGTGAGATTTTTATGCATTTCCCTTTTGGATTAATTTCTCCCTTGTACCATTTTTATTTCTGGGAAAATTTCTCTTCCCAATTTATTGTAGTCTAGATTTTGTCACTAATAAATGCAACACTGTCTGGGAATGAACTATATAAATATTTATGAAAAAATTAATACATTTATGCTGATGAGGTCTAGGAAAGCAGAGAAAATATGGGTTCAGGTTCCTGCAGTTGGTGTAATACACAGATCACTTTAATGTGTCTATGATTTAAAATGTTATGGCAAATGGTATTTCTTTTAGTTTGTGGTTTCTCCAGCAAATTCTTTTCTGTGACATATTAGGGAACTTTTAAAAAACAGAGACAATGAGCCAACTCATTTGTATAATTATTTAAACAACTCAAACATTTTAGGTTGCCTGTGATGTAGGTAAATTATGCTAAAAATGACTTAAAGGAACATAAAACTTTATGAAAAGCAGACATTTGTTTTATAGTCCTAAACCTCCATTTGTAGGGAAGCTACAAACCCTGGATCTTATTGCTGTGGAGCAATATGAATTTTCCATTCAAGCATCTATATCTATATATAGAGTATTTGTGTAAAACCACAAAAACTTTCTGGGCCAATTTTTGTCTTTTGTTCCTTAAGGGAAACTCCCTGCAAAGATACAGGTTTAGTTAATACTAAATGTTTCTAGTACTGGGATTATCAATGTGTTCATATAATTTAACACAACCTTTGGGGGTATGTTTCCATTAAGTAAATTGGGATAAACCATCCTTAAATAATCTCCCAAGTAGAGAAAAGCATGTGGTTATACTGACATTCAGAGGCTAATAGA